AGGAAATTTTACAGGTGTCCTTAGAGTATCTAAAACTACCCTCGCATACAATTTGAGGCAATTCTAACACTTCTTCAGAGGCTGCCCAATATTAATCTTATTGCTATAGTGTTCCCGTGGTCTGGCGACGTCTTGGGCACTGGTTAGACCAGGTTACTACCAGCTCTCTCCATATTCACCTTGGGGATGCAAGTATGTCAAAAATGATGTATAATAATATACTCTAATTACATTCCCGCATCTGCCATAATGATAGGCAGAACATTCATAGGCACCTAGGAGCCCTACCGCAAGGAGGGTCTCTCTGTAACAGACACATACTTCTCACGTCCAATTGTAGTAGCCCTGAATGAAGCTAATCTTTCCTTCACATCCAAGTCCCTCTTCATGCCGTTTCACTTTCTTGTCATAACCTAAGAGGCCTGGAATAGGGAAGGACCATGAACCAGCTGCATTCTTATGTGCAAAGTGAAGAAGCAGGGATTTTCAGCCTAAACCACGATGAGATCGATATGTGATTTCTCTGCATTCTGCAGAGTCTACCAAGAAGTTGATAGAAATGGGACACTGAAGCTCTGGTGGGTATTTGCCGTCGTCTTCATGGCGGGGAAACTCGACATCGGAAGATTGGCTACTAATTGGAAAGGCCTTGGACCTCATGATGCCTGAGGAGGAAATCCAATGTTAAAAGGATGCTCTTGAAAATCAAGATCACCAGTCTATGGTTCCCAACTTATGACCAATGCTTTCATGGCTTAGGTCAAAGGTTCGATCCTTAGACTCAATATCTATAGGTTTATGGTTCTCAACCTACGACCACTGCCTTCGTGGCTCAGGTCAAAGGTTCGATCCTTAGACTCGATATCTACATGTCTATGGTTCCCAACATACAACCAATGCCTTTGTGGCTCAGGTCAAAGGTTCAATCCGAAGACTCGATGTTTACAGGTCTATGGTTCCCTAGTTATGACCAATGCCTTCGTGGCTTAAGTCAAAGGTTCGATCCTTAGACTCAATGTTTACAAATCTATGGTTCCCAACTTGTGACCAATTCCTTCGTGGCTCAGGTCAAAGGCTCGATCCTTAGACTCAACGTTTCCAAGTCTATGGTTCCCAACCTACGACCAATGCCTTTGTGGTTCAGGTCAAAGGCTCGATTCTTAGACTCAACCTTTACAAATCTATGGTCCCCAACCTATGATCAATGCCTTCGTGGCTCAGGTCAAAGGTTCAATCCTTAGATTCAATATCTACAGGTTCATGGTTCCAACCTACAACTAATGCCTACAAGGTTTAAGACTAAGGCTCGATCCTTAAGTCTTATAAAACTCTGATTTTTAACTGACGGTCAAAACCTGTGAGGGTTTAGACTAAAGGATTTGATCCCTTAACTCGATACCCCGACCCCCGACCAGTACCTTTGTAAAGGTCATGAATTGATCGAAACATTCGACTCACAGCCAATGTTAGCTGAGAAAAATCGAGGAGGGCTTATGGAGAAAAAGCCCCAATATCCTTAGTAATAGGAAGATTCACCGAAATCTTGAGAAATCTGTAACAGATTTCTAGAAATTTGGGGATAACCTCCCCATGGAAATTGAATCTTCAAAAATCCCATATGCCAAATTGACAGAAAGTGAGAACTCATGCTAAAAGAATCCAGGGAGAAGTTACAGATATTTCTTTCGAAATAACGTGACGAAAGGGTCTCTCTTAGAGAGATTACTAGAATACCAAAAGAAGATGCAAGAGGAAAGAGGGTTTTTCAGAAATAGTGATGAGCGGAAGGGTGGGAGAGAATGAAAAGGAGATCGTTTGGGGAAAATGCGACGCTTGGGGTACCTTATACCTTGATTCGCGCTAAAAAGACAATGGGATAATGATAGTTTCTAGCAGTTTTACCAAACTGCCCCTACTGAAATAATGAAAGAGGTTATGGCCTAGGGATTTTACTCGGTTGCCCCCGGTATTTTCCGAAACGATAGGGATGTCACGATTGTGTTAGAAATTTGAAACATGAACCAATGATATGCGAATGCAAAATGATGCAAAATGCTATGGGCAATTGAAGATGCAAAATGTGAACACAATGATGTAAAAAAAGAGTTTCATTAGAATTTCATTGATGGAAGGTTGTGGGACAGAGCCATTACATTTTGTTCAGGAAAAAAAAAAAAAATTAAAAGGGGAAGGAGAGGAGCCAACTAATTCCACTCATCAGAGCCAATTCCATGAAGCGCCTTAGTTCCATGACCCTGGAGAGCTTTCTCTTCATTGAGCTCATGGCATCCTTCGCATGATCACCTTCTCCTTGATAGAAGTCCAACATACTCCGATAATGTTCCACCTCTTGCATAGCCGAGACATCACTTCCTGAAGATGAGTACTCTCTTGGGACTTAGGGTCCGTCATGAGGCCTGCCTTCAATGCTTCCCCCAAACATCTTCCTCATCCTCAGAGGAGATGTTCATAGACTTCAAATTTGCTGAGCATTTGCGGCTACTCTCCGCTTTCGCAGCAATCGAGGGAGGGATGTTAACAGAATGTTCTTCACTGCACAAAATTGGGGGAATGAGGTGAGGATTGAGACGGGTCTCTAAGTGATGAGGGAACTTAGGGGATACCATGGTTGAAGATATTGGATGTGAGATACTCTCTTGCTATCCTAGATTTATAGGCTTTTCGTGAGGGATCAAAGGTTTGCTCCTTGGGAATACGATGAAATGATGATTCAAATGGCTATCCGCACTTTGATAGATGCGGGGGTTTTCGAGACAAAGAATATTCGATAAAATTTAAAGACATACATAAGGAAGAGCAATGACGGCAAGACCACCCAAATCATCTATCGTTACGTGCTCTAGGGACCTTACCCAGGCACGCGAATGCCCAAGATGGTTTTTTTGGGTGTGTTTTCTGTCACATATGAGGACCAGATGCACTTTGATACTAGTATGACAGCCAAGCTTCATATGAGACTTAATGGAATACCCCATGTGACGCAAATACATGATCTGACCAATATCCATTAGATGAAAGGCTTGATATGCCTAAGAGAATCTTGACTCATTGGTTAGTCATTAAAAGTCCTAACCCATGGTTGATAATGCTAAAACCTGTCAACTAAATATATTCAAGCTTAACATGAATGGTGAAGTCATCTCCTTTTGAGACAAGTATTAGGATACACATACTCCTAAGGCTCTATGTACGTCTATCCATATGATATGTTGAGGAACATATACGGCTCAATATTGGCATCCATCATTGGTTACACACGTGTGCTATAACTTAAGATCAGTGATAAGAGATCATGAAGACGTTTCTACTTAAGACAAAACTCCAGAATGCATATGTTCCCTGACACAAAAATACATCTCCATTGCATACTGGAGGAGTTCTGGGTGAGATGTGATGTGACTCTCTAAAAAGATCCATCGTATATTGAAATAATAGGGTTTTGACTGATGGAACTTCAAGGAAACCACATCATGATATACTGAGGTGAATTTCTAAATATATATATATTAAGGCCTCATGTGCTTTAAGGTCCAAGGGTGATAGGACTTGGGTGATATTTGGACCTGGTTTAACCCATGTTTGTATCCACCATCGGTTCATATATGAGTTAATTGACACCCCGAAGCTCAATGCCTTCGGGACCAAGTTGAGACTCTCAAGAAACCATGTCGAAGTGCTATAACCCTTTTTCTTGAAGTTTCGTATTAGTCGGAGGTTGGATAACTCGACGGTTGGAGCTCAAAGCCCCATGTCTCGTGCGTTCCAAGAATGACAATATTAGACTACTGATACTGAAATTTCTCCTTTAATGTGAGGAATTGAATTTCTCAAGAAATCCGGACCATTGGATCCTTGATCCGATCACCCTTAAAAGGTGTGGAAATGTTCGATGAAGAAGAAGAAAGTATATTCAGCGGGATGAACAGAAAGGTGAACTAACGAGTAATAAAAAGGGAAGATATGTCCTGGTCTTTCTCATGGACAGCTCAACTGATTCGAAAGATTGCATATTTAAAATTCAAAAGAAAGATGTTTAGCCACATCAGACATGCATGAATTTGAATTTGCGAATGGTTAAGGGTTGACCACATAGGATAAGCGCAAATTCAAAATTTGCGCGTGTTGGGGTTGACAGATTTACCTACGGTTTTAAAACTCGTGTGAATCCTTAAATTTAAATTCAAATCCATAAAATCTGTTCATTCGAACTAAAAGACCAGCTCACAAGTTCGAATTCACGTGGAAGATAAGGACAAAATGAATATCCAACGTGAAGGTGAGGAAGATGATAAGCATCATCAAGAAATCAATCGATGGAGGTGATATTTGGTGGTTATCAAAGAGATATTGAAGGTTATCATCCAAAGAAGGTTATAAATGCCAGGTGAATTGATGAGAACGGGGTTCACAGATTATTCTTGGAGATAAGTACTCTTTGAGAGAACATATCTCATACGTTGATCAAGTACTAAGATAGAGTGAGAGAAGAGAGCGAAAAGAGAAAGAAATCAATTCCGTGCTCTGAGATACCCACTTGAGGACCATTTTCTGAAACGGACAAGGACATAGGATTAACATCCCTACTATAGATCAGGTATATAGGCTGATATCCCATCCGATGCTATCTCCTTTTATATATATGTATGGCTTGTTATGTCAGAAATGAATGTATAGGTCTTAAGGCTATAATCAAGGGTCGTCAGCCTTATTTGATTTTTATCGCATTATTTGATCATCCAAAATATAACAAGGGATTAAACTCTTGGAACTATTTCGTTCCCAATATATAATTATAAAGAACTTGTGTTTTTTAGGATATGGAATGCATGGATGACTTTGGCCTCGAATGTGTTATCCTCTGGTAAAGCATTTAATTGGAGTGTCAGCATGTTTTAAATTATGTTGTCTTTTTTAAAAATCAAATACCCCTTTTTCATATGATATTTTAAATATTTTATTTCAATTTCATTGATTTTTGGTTCTTATATTATCCACCTTTCATAGAATTTAGTGAGGTGGCTGATTGGAAACACTTGCAGTAAAAAAAATTAAGGAGTTCGTGGAACTTTCTCAATTGCAATTGTTGAGAATCTCTCTGCTCGTCATATCAATTTTCAGTTCTAATTTTCCTCTCTATCTTTCTGAATCTTTCTCTGAATTTTGTAGGGTTGGCGTAATTAAAGGGTAATATGCACATATCCGGATAATGGAGAGCGCATAGTTTTGATATTGAACAGCGATCCACCTGCCCATCAACAAAAGGTTCATCTTCATCTTGATCTGTAATTCTTTTAAATTTAAGAGAAGTACAATTAAGAAAAGAAAACCCTCTTCAAACTTACCCTGGTTTGTCAGGTCCAAGAGGTTGCAAAGATAATGGTGAAGGAGCTTAATTTGGATGATGAGTGGCTTCTGCATAAACTCTGCAAGGTAGATAGACATGGTTTTGCTGCTTGAAACATGATATTGCTATGCATGGATAAGTAATTTGAACTTACCCAAAAAAATGGATAAGTAATTTGAGGCGTATATATTTTTATTATGATTTATTTCGGGTGAATTACTGCCAATTATGAGAATTACTATTAGAAATTTTGCTTTAATGTGGTTGCTGGTTTTGCATAGTTGTGTTTCTAATTCTGTAAGTAGTGCTTCTTTTGGGAAGCTATGTTTATCCTTTTGTTTCTAAAATTAAGAATAGGTTAGAATGTAGGTTAGAATGCTGAATTCTGAGGTTTTTCTCCTCGGCTTTATCTTTCGTTTCACTTACAAATCCCGCTTCCCACTATCTTTTTAGTTATATCTTACGTCTCTTGTAGTTTTTTGAAGGCACCCCCCCTTACTAAGCAATTATAAGATTCTTATGTTTGTGAAAATATCCTTATTTTTCTTTTTGATTTTTGAGCAAATTGTAGGCATTATTTCTTCAATAAAGTCTTTCCTTGCAGTGAGGGCAATGCACATGCTTTTAGCTAGTTTACAAAAACTACAAATTTATAGTTCAAAAACTGGTCACCCATCTATTACATCACATGCAGGTTTATCTACTTATCTCAAGTCAGAGAATTGTTGGCTGTCTTGTGGCAGAACCAATCAGATATGGCTACAAAGTCATCTCAAACTATCCTTCAATCATAAATTCATCAAGTTCAAGTGCAAAAGAGAATTTCAAAACAAAAACTGGTGTGCTTCTCTTTGGCAATGTCAGTTTCGAGAGAGAAACAATCCAAAGATCTAATGTAAAGAACTCAGAGAAGATTGCAGATGAGTTTATCGGTACTGCAATCCTTTGTGAGACGGAACCTGTGTCAGCCGTTTCTGGCATAAGTGCCATTTGGGTTCTGGCCTCCAGCAGGAGAAAGGGCATAGCAACTCGCTTGCTTGATATTGCAAGGTACTCTCTCTCTCATATGTTTTATGTTTGGTTTAGATTATCGTGTTTCCTGGTGTTATGGATTTGTAGGAAGAACTTCCTCATGGGTTATATCATGGAGCCCTCCCAATTTCCCTTCTGTCAGCCAACTTTGGGGAAGGCTTTTGCCACCAAGTATTGCAGTACCAACTCATTCTCGGTTTATAAATCTATTAAAAGGTGATTTATGTAAGAATCGATAATTCAAGGTAGAGTTTCTCAATTGAGAAGAGAAAATGGGAGGCATTTCCACATTCTTTTCTTATGGCGATTGTCGAGGTTCCAACAGTCGAAAGCACTGAAATTAGTGAACACCTTAAGAATATGCTCTCCCTGTTCGGATCTGTTATCCTCAAAATAAGCATTTTGCATTGTAAAAACCAGGCCCTTTGGTGATTCATAAAGATGATTCTTACTTCTCTTTTGCTCTATTAACTAATGTCAGATATGACTTTACAGTGAGTATTTTTTTCCTTTGGAGTGCTTTTCTATGCTGCAATTTGTATATCTTGATGAATAGACTTTTTGTTTAACAAGTAGACACCAGCCAACTAAAAAAACAATATACTGAGCCTTTGATGTATCCCCCACTGAAATCAAGACTGTTAATGTTTCAAAAATATTGAACTTGCTTCGAGCTAACTGAGCGAGCTCGCCACTCAAACTTGCTTAGAGAAAGGTTTCTATCCTTCCCCTACTGCATTCGATCCTTCACCTACTGCATAGAAGCTATATGCTTCCCCCCATCTAGCCATCCAATTTAGATACTCACCATTTTTAAGTTTTATAACTCAATAGATCCAAAGTTTCAAAACATATATTGGGTCACAAAATTCTAAGTTTTCTATCTTTTAACCCCCTAAGCTAACTTTATCTCCTTTAAACCTATTTTTTTACCCCAAACAATATAAGAAAGATATCATTTTAAACATCATAATTTCTCTCTCATCACATGATTTTCCCCCAAATCTCTCTTTACTTATTTCCCACTCTCTCCCCCATGTCTCTCACTCTCTCTCTCCCCCGTTAGAGAGACAGAGGGTGAAAGTTAGAAAGAGAAATTTGTGAGGAATATATCACATAAAAAGAGAAAAGGTTTAGAATGAACATGTCTTTTTTATATTTGTTAAGGTTAAAAAAAAGTTAAAAGTGGGTAAAGTTAGTAAGGGAGTTAGGATATATATTTTGAATCGTTGGATCTATTGAGATATAAAACCAAAAATAGAGGGTATGAAGATATTTTTCCTAAAGTTTTTTGATAAAATGTAATGACCAAAATACCCCTTGAACTTTCAAGGCTATTTTGATAAAAATTTTTTTTATTGAAAATACTTGTTTTATAATTTTTACAGGTGCAAATTTAAGAGAGGAGTAGATGCCCAAAATTTGGTGTCAAAATGGTTTGTAAAAATAACATTAAAAATAAAATAGTATAGCGACGTGACATTGTGATTGGGGCCATCTCAATTGTCCATTCAGAATGAACGGTCGGTTAGATAGGGGGAAACATATAAGTTTTACGCAGTAGGGGTAGCATAAAAAGCATTCCCTTAATTTTATAAAAAATAAACTATCTTGAAAGAGTAGATACATTATACATGATATCTCAAGAGTCACATGATACGCAGGATAGCTAGGAAGTGTGTGTGTCTCATGATAAGGGCCTCCGGCCTAGATGTGGAGGCTTTGAGGTTAAAAATAGACTGTGGAGGTTCTATAACGAACAGATGGGGTAATGCGTGATTCAACTATCAAGAAGACTAAACCTGGTTTTTTTTTGCAGGGAGTGGATGTTTCAAGAAGGGTGTTCAGCCTACGATCAATATCTTTTGGATCCTTTCTTGAACTAACACATTTCTATGAAAAAATAGAATTTTTTTAATCCCTTTCCAGATCATGTTGAAGTCTCCAATGAATATTGGCATGAGTCCCTACTTTATGATGATGATGAATTGCTTGCTTCTTGATTGTTTGGTATGTACTTTAGATACATTACGCATAATATTAGTTTCTTAGCTGTTTGGTATCTACTCTGTGCTATGCATATTTAGCCTATTTGGGTGCTTTCTTTTCGTTAGCCCCCTGCCCTAGACAAAAAGCGCTACAAAAAAAGTTAAGTTGAGTAAATTAAAGGGAAAGTTACAAAAAAAACCCCCAAGTATACTACGCAACTTACCCTCCAACTAACTTTTTTACCACGACTACCTTTCCTCACAAAAACCTCCTCAATCCAAAAAAAAAAAGCTTAACTACCCTCTCTCTACTCGTGGCTTTTACCCACGACTCTCTCCCTGTGCGCTCTGGGAGTTTATTTAAACGCTCTGACAATGAGGACACGCTCTGGGAGTTTATTTAAACGCTCTGACAATGAGGACACGTACTCCGACAATGCAAAGACTTACTCCGACAGTACACCTTCTGGAGCCAAAGCACTCTGACCGCTGGATACGTCTTTCTGACAATGAGGACCGACAGTTGGATAGGCCGCTCCGACAATGAGGACATGTGCTCCAGCAAAGACTCGCTCTGGCAATACACTTTTTGGAGCCACAACGCTATGGCGGTTGAATATGTCGCTCCGACAGTACATTTTTTGGAGACGATTGAATAAGTCGCTCAGACAATGAAGACAACGCTCCGACAGTACAAAGATGCACTCCGACAGTACATCTTTTGGAGCCACATCGCTCCGACGATTGAATTGGTCGCTCTGGCAATCGATTATTTGGGACTGCCAATTGACTCTTTTTTTGTGCGGGAAAGGTATTTCCGTCCAAAAAATAACAACTTTTTACTTTGAGGGGGTGTTTGCGAAAAAAGGTGGTTGTCGGGAAAAAATTGAGTGGAAAAGTTAACTGGGGGTTGCGTTGCATAGATAGTATACTTGGGGTGCTAGTTTGAGGGGCTAAATTATTTTTTCTGATCAGACACTTGTTTTGCCTAAATTAAAGACAACTTTTCCCTAAATTATATATACAATGCTACTCTTCTTGTTTTGCCCAAGTAGGAGTGGGCTAGTTTGAGAGGCTAAAATTTTTCCCTAAATTAAAGACAACTTTTCCAAAAGATAAACTTATATATAAACTAATTGGAACAACTTATATATAAACTAACTGTAAGTTTACCTCAGATGATTTTATGTTTGCTATACCTCATTAAAAATATTAATTTTATTGAAATAGTCAATTGTCAAGGATAATAAGTACATCCAAACGTGCCCTTAATAGACTTGTTTAATTGTCCAAATGTTACCTCAGGGACTAAATGGTGTCATTGAATGTTCTAAATGGTGTCACTTTATCAACTTTAAAGAACAGCACCCAAGCGAATCTAATTGACGTTACTGCTCAGCAAAACATGTATCTGATAAGAAAAAATAATTTAACCTCTCAAACTAGCCCACTCCTACAACATTGTAAATGGATCAACTAATAAATACTAAACTTGAGCTCCAATTGGAAATGTCTAAGCTCAAAAACATTAAACCCCCACAAAAGAGGGCATCGGCATCTTTTCTTTTCTTGATGATAAATAACCACTGTAAAATCAAATAAAATTACAAAGGAGAGTAGGGTTACAAGTTCATGACATATTTTTCAGAATTCCACATTAAACCAGGTCTCCAATTGCGAAAGAGTGAACAGTATCAGAACTTGGTACATATCCAACTGCCTTGAATTACTTGAACGCGTCTCAACCTTCAAATGTTGACCTTAATCAACAGAAGAAAATATTTGCCTAGAGCTTAAGTACTGGCCTGTTAAGAGAATATTTCAAAATTTCACAGAAGTTTTTAAACCGAACAACAACAAATGTATTATGTTTAAGTATAGAATAATGGGAATCCGTAAATACATTCACGATATTAATGTAGACTATTCATACCTCTGCAGTAGAATCAGATTGAAGATATGGGGCCAAAGTCCTCAAAACTTCCTCATAAACAGGCTTCTTAAAATCCACAACCTGCTCAATAATAGTAGCACACATTTTACTTTGATTTGCAATTTATGCAAAGAATCTACTGAGAGATATCCAGATAATCAAGCCAAAACCACTCCTCTCTCCTGTGTGTGTGTGTGCCATGCGTGTGTGCACGTGTGCATGCGCCTGCATAATTCAACCCACATGTTCAATCACTTCGTGGGGCAACATCCACGACCACTCTGAAAACTCAGCAATTTCTGTCCCGTCACCGGAAAGATTGATCTCACCATCCTGTCCAGTAAATCTAAGAAGGAACCTGGTCATAAATTTAGAAATAATCAGATGAAGTGTGGTAAAAGGTTTTATCAGAGCACTAAAAGCAATGTAACAGGTTTTTCAAGTAACCAACAAAGCTATCAAGGAATTAGGTAGCCCATAGAGGTTTCAGATCCATCCCAGGCTCGGGCCTTACCAACAAGCCCACTGGCCGGGCCAAGGGCTCATTTGCAGGCCAACTGATTAACTTGGCCACCCAGACATTCAAATTGTGACCTTAGATTTCAACCTACAGAATGATATGGGCATGAAGGCCTTTAAAGGAAGAAAATTAGGTAAAATAAAAGCAGTTAGTTATTTATATATTTCTTATTCTTATTTGTAATCTATATTTTTTATTTTTTATTCGTAAACTTTCTCAAAGTTCAAACACCTTGTTTATAAAGTACACATTTTCTACCCCATCTTGATTAACTGACTGAAGCTGTTGTACTTGTATCCAATCAAAGTATTCATAAGGCTTGCTTCCTCGACTTCTCCCACGTAGACTCCCACTGCTATTTCTACTAGGCTTACTGATACATCTTATACAAACGGCGGCAAGTAAGGCATAATTACAGCTCAAAGAATAGATAGTAGAGGTTGTATTGAGGACTTCCTCGGATTATGCAGCATTTTAGTCACAAAAATCCCTTATCGGTGTGGCCATGAAATTTTTTCTTGTTAAAAGCAACATGAGTCACCATAAGTCCACACCAAGTGATCCCTTAAAAGATTTGAAAACTGAAAAATAATGAGCTTCAAATGGTAATGCTTACCACTTTTGGGCCTGGCCTTTCCTATCTTCTCCCCATAACTTAGTAAGTTTTTCTTTGACTTCAGGGGGGAAATCATAAGTTAACCAATGAGGAACCTGTATGAAAGAACCTAACAATTAAACCAACATAATCATCAATGAGAATTAAGAAATGTGGTCATACACAACATCTTTTATTTTGAAATCTATGTTTTACACATCTCATGCAGAAGCCTTACTCGTTTCATCCAACTATGGAAAATAAGTATCCTTCAGAGTTCAGAAATCACAGTACATCATGCACAGAAGCAATGCATGGAACACATTCATGAACCTCAAGAAACACTATATCTGAAACCCCTAATTCTAACATGTGATAGTCTAATTCAGGAGAACGCCTACAAAGTCAATGATTTTCCAGTGACAAATAATCCATTTATAATTTCTTTCTCTGCAATATAACCCAAATGTAGACAGTCTCAACAGCTGTAATAATTCTTCATATTCCATTAGGTCCATCAATCCAACCCGGGTATTACCAAGGGGAGCCAAACCCACAGTCTATTGTGTTCATTAGAATGACAGCCAAGGGGGTAAAGGAGGAAATATCAGATATTAAAAACCCATATAAATCCACCTTGTATGGATTGTTACATCAGAATAGCTAGGCAACAGGTATTTCTGTTTTTGCTGCTCAAACACATACTGATTTGTACAAGTTTGACATTTATACACCACAAATGACATGAAACCTATAGCTTGTATTTTTGTTCAATTTATGTCGTGCACTTGGTGTTGGGAAAGCTTGCAAGAACTGATAGGTTTGATGATATCCAAAATCACCACTCCTATGTTCCTTCAAAAGATTGACAGTATTATGGCCTTTGATTAATAGGGAAAAAGGGCCTTCCTTGGGATCAATAAAGAGTTATCCTTTTAAGGGTTATTAGGGGTCATGGGAAGTGGTCTTCAAGATGGAGATGGGTCTCCAAGAGAGAGACATGGCTTCCTAAAGAGAGGCAGAATTCCCATGGAGTTTTGGGTTGATAGTTTGCACTCCTAGAGAGAAAAAAGTCTTCCAGTGAGGTTCTCTTTCCAGTAATGATGTGGTAGTGAGAAAGAGGAGGTTGATCAGTGGAGCTGCTCCATCTGGAGAGCGGGTTTAGAAGGGAAGATCAGCGAGTGTTTAGAGAGGTATATCTCTTATAACCTAAAACGATAATCTTTATTGAAATAGTGGGTACATCTCTTCTACTTGGCGAGGCTGTGGACATAATGCTTGGGGTGAACCATGTAAATTGTGTCGTTGAGGTGTGCTTTTTGTGTTTGCTATATTTCTTGCACTTTTCTTTGTCATTCTATTAACTTATTTTGCATCTAGCCAACTAACTATATGCATAATCTTGGGTGGAATCTCAGTGTATGGGGTGCCTAATTCTGCAAGTGAGGGTAACCAAGAACCCCAAAATTGGTATCAGAGCAATAGGTGTTGTCATTATTCCAAAAAATGTCGGGCGGTGCCTAGGCAGTCATGGAAGTCCTAGCTGCCCAGAGCCTAGGTGGGCACCCAAATTTCTGGGCGGCCTAGGTTGAAGAAGAGGGATAGGGGCATACGAGTAATACATAATAAAATATTAAAAAGTTTAAAAATACAATAATCCAGAGTTGCTAGCCATTGCAATAGACTACTAGCACAACCAAAAATAAAATATATTAGTAAATTACTAATACATGCACAATCCATAATCCATACTTCATAGTCCATAATTCCATGTTTCATAGTCCATACCATTCCATAATCCATCGTTCCATACAACGATACAAACATACAGGTCTGGCATAAACATAACAGTAGAAACTAAAAAATAAGAAAAAGAGATATACACTCGAAGACTCAAGAGTCAAGAGTCTTCAATCATCATCTGAAACAGTGGGGTAAACCTCATCATGTGCATCGGAGTCGAGTACATCATTATCAGAGTCATGTCCCTCTTCAACATAACGCTCGTTCTCCTCTGTTTCTTCTGAAGCTGCCTCTTCTTCTAGCCCCCCCCCTCCCCCCCACCCTCTTGCTGTGTGCAGATGATATAAAGGCCTTAGGAGTGTTGGCTGCTCTATCTGATGCCCCTTCACTCTTTTCTTGCTTTGTGTTTTACTATCAAATATACTTAATCTCCTCCCTACTAGCTTGAAGAATATTTTTACAAGGGACAACATCCCCCCTAATATTGACATGGTGTTTATTGAACGGGTAAAAATACTAAAAGAACCCCGAGAAGACATTTACATATAACAAGGTTCCTTTTCTTCCTTTTCTAGTTTTACCAAATTCATTTATTGCCTAATCTCATCCCTAATAACTTTTGAAACTTTTTTACAAGAAGCAACATTCCCCTTAATACTAGCAAGGTGTTTCTTGAATCAGTTAATAAAACCCCCATTGGTATTTTTTTCATAAAAATTACACCTTATACAATTTTTATCATTTGGATTCAAGTTATAACAATACTTTCATCCCGGATCACCACTTTTACAAGAGTCAGAAGAAGACTTATCTAAATGGCAATGCTCCTTTGTCCTTTTTTGTGCTTTATCAAACTCTATTATTGCTTAATCTCTTCAAGAACATTTTTATAAGGGGCAACCTCCCCTCTAACACCAGCAATGTGTTTTTTGAACCAGTTTATACCCCCCATTAGTATATTTTTCATAACAATTACATCTTATACAATTTTTGTCATTTTGATTTGTGTTATAATCATACTTCCAACCCGGATCATCACATTTAGAAGAACTCGAAGAAGACATTGACATAACAAATAAAATCTCAAATATGAAAATTCTTAACTAACCTTTTTGCTCGATCTTCAATCTTGAATGTTTGAGATGTTTCCCAATTTCAAATGCTTCCTAAAAACCTTCTAATAAGCTTCAAAAAACTATAAAATCAAATCCAAACTAAAAGGATGATGTTTGAATCAATTTTTTAAAAACTTTGAATTACCAGATCGTTCTCACAAAAATGTTAGAAAGTGGTTTTTTAAAAAACAAATTCACTCCAAAAGGTCCCAAAAGGGCTTTAGGTCACACCCTTTATTTAAGGGGAAGAAAGACGAAAATGCCCCTCCAAGGGGGTATTTTTGCCCTTGGGCAGGCACCCGCTAGGGACCCACCACGAAGAAGAGCCACCTCGCCCAGGTCCCCTGGCCCACTTAGGGGGCTGCTTTTTAAAACATTGATGTGGTGCTAAGAATTGCTAGTAGAGGAAAAGATGCATGGAGAAGCTAGATGGATACATGGTTTGAGGTAGAGAAAAATGGAGGCAAAGTGTTGTGAAAATTTCACTTTGGAGACAAGAAGGAATAAATCAAGAAATCTATCTATCTAATGGAGATCAACAAGGCAAATATGGTGATTTTCCTATCAAGGCAGGGACTATTAGGTTTGGTGATACCAAAATTACCACTCCTATGTTTTCTTCAAAAGATTGAGGATAAAATAGAGTAAAAAGAAAGGGAATTTCTTAAAGGGAACCAGATTGATCTCTAATGACAGGGGGTTTAGGAAGACATGATACTTATCTTTTTAAGAGTCACCATTTGAGGCCATGAAAAGAGATATCTAAGATGGAGATGGGTCTCCAAGAGAGAGATATGGCCTGCTAAAGACGTGGTTTTCTTATGTGGTTTTCCTATGTGGTTCTAGGTTGATAATATTCACGTCTAGAAAGACAAACTCTCTAGGTTGCTCTAGGGGTTCTCTTTTCAATATCATCACAGCGATGAGAAAGACAAGGTTGATCGGCATTGTTGCTCAGTTGGAATAGTTTTAAAAGAGACGATCAGCCAGCATTTTTTTAAGAAAAGCATATACCTTGTAACCCAAAATTCGAATGTTCTTTGACATAGTAAATTTCTACTTGCCAAGGCTGTGGGCATAGCCCATTTAGGGTTAATCAAGTAAACCGTGTGTTGTCGTGTGCCTTTGGTGTTCGCTATATTTCTTTAATGTTGTAGTCATTCCCTTGACTTATTTTGCACATAGCCAGCTATATATATGATATTGGGTGCCTAATTTCGCAAGTAACCGAGAAACCTAGAAGAATACAAATTTTCAGTCAGAAAGAAACTAAACAGTTTTATAGTTGAGGAAAATTTGAAGACCAAATAAAGTTGGTGTATTTTGTTCAAGTGTTCTGCACCAGCTCACATCAAATATTTGATATACCATTCAAGGATCTAGTTCTAGAAATTGAATCTATACAGATCCATACTTCTAAACCTAAAGACTGTTTTCATGATTGAAATTTCACTAATTGTAAGCTTAACTAAGGCATCACTGTTTCATCAAATGAAAAAAACAAAAAATTCATTCCCCTAAGTTGCGTCCGAGTTTTTAAATTTGAGGTTAAAAATATCAGCTTAAGCTCAACTGAAAGGTGGTTGAAAATCTCTAATACAGCCATATGTTTATTTTGATAAGCATTCATTTTAGCAAATATTAAATTGTGAACATTCAACTTCGAGTCTATAACTCGGGCCCAAACAGAAAACAAAGCAAAACTGGAACTTAGAAACTTGAAGAAATCAATATTCTCAAAGGGTCAGCAGTTCTTTTAATGCTTCCAGCAAAGTAGTCAGTGGTTTCTTGCTATTTTTCACAAAAAGTTAGTTAAGCAACATGAGATACTTTAAGTGAACCAAAATAGAGATAGAGATAGAGAGAGAGAGAGAGAGAGAGAGAGAGAGAGAGAGAGAGAGAGAGAGAGAGAGAGAGAGAGAGAGAGAGAGAGAGAGAGAGAGAGAGAGAGAG